CTTTAAACTGTTAGAAACATATTTAATTATAATGTAGTGTTGTTTGTAAATACACATATGTATAAGTAATGAAGTCTAATAGCATTAAATTGAACAATTTAATTATTCAAATCTCTTAAATAAATACTCTCTAACTCAGACGAGTACTAAGAGAAGATGACAATTATTTTGTGGTCATTGTAAGTCGTTCTGTCATGATATTAGAGTGTTCTAACAAGAACGCCACTAGAAATTTATTGAAAATAAATTTAAAAGAAAAAGAATACCACTTGTAAAGGTAATTATATAAGCTTGCGATGGATACGTTGATGAGAAAAATATATAATTATTTTTTATTATTATTAATGAGGTATAAAAATACGTATGTTCCCTAATGTGACAGAATACACAAAATTTATTCAAATACGTTAAAGGTTACATATTTTTTCTCAGATGATTATAATTAAAAATTTAAAAAATGTCTACACATTACCGAGTGTACATCACACGCGAAAAATTGTATGTAAAATATGCACTAAAAACTAATCCAATAATATTCGCAACAAATTTAACGCGACTTGTACGTTAAAATAAATCAAAGGAAAGTACAAAGGAAAGGCTGACTACAAAAATATCATCAACATCTTTCGATCCTTCAAAGGAAGCAATCCCCCAAGAATCCAACTACGTTCGACACTTACGTTGATCGGTGTTAACGCAAAGAAAGCAGTGAAATGCGTTCGAATCGAGGCTGGTTCGCAGAGGGCTCCCGGAAGAAAAGGGGGGTTGCGCGATTTCGCGGAGAACGAGTTCGTTCGACGCGCAATTGCATCCTCCCTTTCCTGTTCGGCAGTAAAACGATCGCCGTTCTCGCGTCTCTCACTTTCGTTCGCGTCGGCCAGGTCGAAATTTAGGAAAGTGCTCGGTATAAAACCGAGGGAACGAGTTAGTTACAACCTATGAGGTGAACAGCTGCCGCGTGCAGCGTGACTCGAACGTCGGGATATCACGCGAGAGAGACATCGGGGGATCGTGAGATCGGAAGCGAGACGAAGAGCACGAGAAACACGTCGACGACGTTGGATCGTTGTAGCGAAAATCCAAGACTTTGCCTCGTAAGAGGACGGAATGTCACTGAATGACTGGCCGCGGGTCCGGTAAGTAATTCTTCGGCAATTACATAATTACTCGTGGTTAGGTGCACCACGGGCCGGAGAACGGTTGTTATGATATTTACTACTATATAGTGATTGCCCCTGCACCATACGAAGAAACGGGCCGCACGAGCGTCCTCGAGATGATCGGCTTCTTCCCATTGCCACCGAGAAACAGCTGGGTAAGTACTCAGCGAGTGATCGTATTCCTTCTTTCCTTCCTTCCTTCGATTGTTCATTCCTTCTCGTTGGCTCTTTCTGCGAACGTGATACGCTTACGTTTCCATCGACCGCGAGAGGTAATTAGCATTCTGTGCTGATGATGCCGATGGAACTGGAGACCGAGAGGCACAGAGAATTTTCTGAACGAAGAGGTTGTAGGGAAAGGCGAGGATCTGTTCTTTCATTCGATTTTTGGTTGATGGAACTTTGCCATTCCTGTTGTTCTCGGTGCAACAGACATATACCTATGCTTCTATGAAAATTTTTACCACCTTCTTCAATTATTGTTCGTTTCTTCACATAAGATTATCGAACGTTCCCCTGAAGTTTGAAGTGAAATCCATTTCTTCGATTCTCATTCGACGACATTCGTCGATCGTGTTCGCAGACTTATGCGCGCTATCGTTCGCGGTTGATACCGAAAGGTTCTAGATTTCGCTCGGCCGCAGTGTGAACGTTCGTCGACGAAGGACGAGCTGGTTACAGGGAATTGATGTAGCGTTACCAACATCACGACGGGTGTAATGGATGTAGTGTTGCTGGTGGCGCACGATAAGCCGCCAGAATGGATGCACTTTTCACGCGTGTAACTTCGCTCACGGCAATCTAGCTTCTCGCGTTCGCGTTGCAGGTGGTTCTCTTGTAATCGCGGTCACTTTTCTTGTGACAGAAGCTGACTTTGTATCGCGCGAGCTTAACGAAGCGAAGACTTTCCGGGATCGAATGAACACCATCTTTCTTTGTCTTTCTGTTTTTCGTACTGTCGTTAACTATATTGTGCTTTAATGATTATTAACAGCTGGCGCGAGAGTGCCAAATTAAAATTCGATCTGTCATATTCTAAATTAATGACGAGCAATGTGGACCATCGGCTACTTATTCGTGTCCCACCGAAACGTTGCACTTCATTTAGATGAAAATTTTAGCGAAAATATACCATATCAACATGAAACATGCGTTAATTTGTGCGTTAATCTTCATTCTTTGAGTTTAATTATCCCTTACTTGTAAAGATGAACATTTGAGGTAAGTAGTTGAAATCAGTAGGTTCAATTTCTATTTAATTACACATAAGACTCTCATGTAGGTGTTGAATTACGTATCGTGATCTTTTAGTTCGATTTCATATCATTTTTAGTTTCGTCTAACGCTGCGATTAGACTGAAGATTTTTATACACTTGTAGAATGCAAAAATGCACTATGAAAAAGTGTATAAAATATTTAAAGTATAATATCCCTGATGATATTAGTAGGCATTTCATTTTTTTAATTATGTCCTAAAAATATGAAATTGAACATGTACAATCTAAATATAATCATTTGCTTTTAATTTTCACTTTATTATGATACTATCTTTGAGAAGATGCTTTGAATTCCAGGTACTATAATACTCAGAAAGCAATATACTGTCAAAAATATTAAAGTATAAATAGATGTTACAAAGTCTCACCTTTATACTTGTACCTATGTGCTGCAAAATAGTATAACATTTTACAAGAAAAGTGTTTCAAATTGGCACAAGAGTTGATTTCTCGTCTTCTAGACTCATATTCATACTCTTGCTCACTGACAGACAGTTGCGATTGCTATCTCTGATCTTGCAAGCCTGCGGTTCTCCTGGAATACCTATCAATATGACTTTTAATCTCGTTGCAGAAAGAAAGAAAAAAAGAATCACTGCTTTAAATTCACGTCTACATCGCGAAACAATCGAACGAATGCAAAGAAGCAAGGAATCGACTGGTAACGAGACGAGGGACACCATTGGCTATTATTATAGAAGGCAGTAGAAGCGGTCACCGAGAGGGAGGGCCCCACGTATAATTTCAGTAATTCCGCGGTCTGGGTCCGTTCACGAGGCCGCCAGCTCGAATGCTACAATTCGCGGGGCCAGCAACAGACGTATCCCCGGCCTCGCGAGCACGCGAGAGCCGCGATTAGTAATTTGAATCGTTACGGCCATCATTCCCACCGTTCCTTCTCGAGGCCGTCCACTCTCGAACTCTGTACCGAATTCCGAAACAAGGGAACGCGTTACGAGTTCTCCCATACCAGCCATCTCTCTCTCTCTCTTTCTTTCTCTCTTTTCTCCTCGTTTCTCAT